GAAAAAAAAAAAAAAAAAAAAAAAAAAAAAGAAGTGTTAGGGTAAAGCTGTTTAACTTTGTTTAGCCTTTCACTCCGCCCCTAACCCACCTCCCACCCCTTTTTCCCTCATAACATCTAATATCCCACACACAGTTCACACTTTGGGAAATACTGTTGGGGTTTAAAGAAGTAAATATTCTCTACAAATGTTTATGGAACATTTACAACTAGTTACTTAAGTAAGCCAAAATAATGTCTAGGGGTACAAAAAGAAAATGTAAGGTAAGAGGTCATCCTGAAGAAGCACAGAATCACATTATGGAATGGACCACAATATACATGAAATAACAAGAGAACAATACACTGTGCTATGTAATCGAGTACCCGTGTGCCCTTTGGTTTGGAATAGAAGGGCTGTGGGAATTCAGAGAAGGAGGCTTTCACTCTGAGCTGTAATAGTTATGGGAACACTTGGCTTGGTGGCATTTAACCATCACTTAACCAGAAAAAGGGTAATTTATCCTTATTGGATGGATGGAATCTGGATGCATAGAAAGGAAAAGGGTGTTCCAGGCAAGAAATTGGGGTACTGGGTTATAGTGTCCTATGTGAATATGCATGGTCTGTACCCTGGACACCATGACAGATTTGTGAATGCCTGAGTTGCCTGGGCCATGTCACCCACAGTGTCTAGTGTACCTTGTACGCCAAGTGTGCTGAAACTTACTGGTTTCATGCTAAGGGTCCACATCTAATATATTACTGTGTGACTCCGATATGCTGCCTACATTGCACAGAGGGAAATTAGGACAGCTGGTTCTGGACCTAGTTGTTTAGCTTAAAAGTTAAGTTCCAAAGGGTCATTTATAAAAGGATTGTCATTACTACCTTTATTCGGAAGGTCTGTGGTGTACACGGACAGTGTTAAAATAATTTCATGATCCTGATACCAGACTCCTGCTAAAGGCCATAGTCAGTGGAGAGTGACAGTAACACCTCAGGACTTTTTTTTTTTTTTCACCCAGATATTATCATTAGTTTTTGTCCATCCAAACACATTTTGCCACCAGTCCTTTGACCTATATTCCCATTCTCTACGTAAGAATATTGTATTAATGCCATTTGCTCAAAAATCCATGTTTCAATTCTGATAAAAACACCATATTCTTCACTAATAATAACTCACTTAAAATGGTTTTGCAGATTTAAAAACTTGTAAGCACATAAAGAATAATAAAAGGGGCTGTCCAGTTAGCTTACTTGGTTAGAGCATGGTGTTGATACCAACAAGGTGAAAGGTTCAAATCCCCGTACCAGCTAGCCACCAAGAAAATAAAAAGAATAATATAAAGCTTCCTCTCTCTTTTCCCCTTTGAGGTAGGTAGGGAAGGTGTTAAAGGAATATAGTATGTATAGAATTAGAAACTAACACCAACAATGGCTTCTTGGTGTTTGAATTTTCTGTTAATTGATTTTTTTCCCCTAGAAATTTTGGATGGTGTGGAACTTGGGGAACCAGCCCATAAGAAAACGGGGACCACGGTGCCAGAATCTATTCATTCTTTCAGTAAGTACAACCTCTGGGGAATTGCACCAGTGACTAGCTCAGTAAGAAATAGCAG